CGTCTGGTTGTGACAGGCAGCTCAGGTAGAGATGGTACTGTGCAGTCGGGCTCTCGCTCACACTTGATGAAGTCATACGGGTCTCTGTGGGACGGCCGAGGGACCGAATCTACCTGGGGCTGCTCTGGGGAATTACATTCCTTTGGTTCCAAAGGGACCAGTGCTGGGACTAAGAAAATGACATCACAAGATTGAAAAATGCATGTGGTACAATGTTGCAGCAAATTAATTTGAATAAAATAACAAACTTTTAGAAATTAAAGTTCCAAAATTCCAACAATTCCACAGAACAACCATCTTTGGTTCCTCAAAGAAAATTTCAGCAGATGTTCTTAAAAGAACCATTTTTTATTTTTTTTTTAGTGTGAAAACATTTAAAAAATTGTAAGAACCTTTTTCAACTATAAAGAAACTTTTGCGGAATGGAAGGGTTCCGTGGATGTTAAAAGTTTTTTGTGGAACCTTAGATGCTAATAAGGAACCTTTAACTTTAAGAATGTAATGTGTCCCCCCAAACACTGAACACCAATACATTACAAAACTAAATATTGCTAAAAAGTTTGTTTTGCTTCAAATGTAAGTTTGTGCTATCTGTTTTCAAAAAGAAATGCCACTTGGTTTTATATTTAGTTTTTTAATGCAATGACATTATGATGCAAAAACATTCATATATTTTTAACTCTCGCTTAACTATCCAAATCATTTTTATGGCCACTTTATTCACTCAGGCAGCTCCTTTCTAAAGGAAAACAGCTAAAGCATGTATGTTTAAATAAGACTATTTATGCAATAAAATGGAGGTGTGTACATGAAAACGTCTGACAGCATTAGACAGATCTGAGATTGTTCCTCACACTTAATTACATTTTCTCCAAATGAACCCTATAAAGAACAGTTTTGATCCAGTGACAATACTGCTCTCTTGTTTGAATAGGACTAGTTTGCATATTCGTAACATCCAGCCTAACTGCTCAACAGCTTACGGACTTCCACGGAATACAACCTATTGAGCTACCTTAGTAAACAGCACATAAGGCCCAAATGCTGTCTTAAGTAAGCAGCTGTCAAGGTTTTAGACACAGCCCTAGAATCAAATAACAGTCAGCCTGAGGCTGAGGCACCAAACATCAATCTGACAGGTGCTAAGCACATCCACTCAGCACTCACTGTAGACAAATCATTGATTTACCCCACATAGGAGAACTAGAGATTCATAATGATGTAAATGAACATAAAACATACAAAACCAAAAAACATTTTAATTATATATTACTGTGGATTGTTCATCTTATGAACACCATATGTCAGACAGGTGAATTTGGAGTTCAAGTTCAATCAATTTTTAAATGCTAAGCTATTTAAAATACAATAGTTCAAAATAAAATAAAATAAAAATGTTGATACAAAAATAAAATTTCTCACTCCACATATAACAATAACACTATTGAGCACTTTTGTATAAATTCAGTAGGCCTAATAATAAAATATAATAATGGCACTTACTTGTTTTGGGTGTTGGGTCCGGGAGTTTCTGTTCACTTTGCTTGGTGTCGATGGGTCGGTGCACATTGTGAGTTTTTTTACTTTTCACCAAAAACGATCGTGGCATGATGATTCTGTAAAATGAGATTTGTTTACTGATACTTTCATTTTCATATTTGTTATGATAACATTAAACATGTCTATCAGCTATTACAAATGTATATAATAACGAAACTTTAACATTTTCCAACTAGCCTACGTAATTACAAATGACAAAAAATCCTGTATATGATATTACAAATGAAAACAAACAAACTGTGTGATAGCCATGTCTATATCATGTTAAAAACAACAACAACGAAACTCAAAACTCTTCTAATAATAAGATTATTTTTCTTTCATGTCTAAAAAATGAAGTAGCCAAATAAAATGGAAATGTTATACTACAGGCTACAATATTTGGTGTTGATGTTTTGAAAGTTTCAGTCAAACTTTGGTTTGAGACATATTTTATAACATGTTAAAATAATATACCAAATTACTGTTAAATAATAAATAATTATTTAAATATAAATATAAAAGTAATGATATGTAGGCTTGAGGTTGAAAAACTTTTCAATAATTGGCTTTAATTGAAAATGTATACTAATATATGAAAACAGCTTACCTGAAGAAAAACGGAAAACTTTTAATGTTTAAAGTCCTTTGATTGTTTGAGTGGCAAACTTCGTGCTGAAAAGTGCAAGGAAATCCGTTGTGATGTTTAGAAATTTAAGCACTGCATCGCTGTGAGTTGGTAGCGTTGAGTTTTTTCAACTCCCCTCCCTGATTTTCAATCCGATAATTCTGCGGTGGAATCTGACTGAGTTTTCAGCCAATTACAGACAGAGCAGGTGCGACATTTGCCTACTAAACGCAAACCTAAAAATCCTGGTGTGGGCACTCTTTTCCATAATGATTTAACAACATATTTAAGATATTTTAACAAATACTAAAATGACAGATAGAATATTCGTTTGCGTTTTTATATAGGCTATTATGTTTATTTTTTTTTTTTATTAGCCCACATCTCTTACTGCGGTGCTACTGGACATTAAATAGGTTAATTGTTTAACAGAGCAATGTGTTAAAGGTTCGAGATATTTTGCTAAACATTTTTTGTAATTATCTGTCAATTTAGTAATTTATCATCATTTATTGGTCATCTGTTGACTTTGCTGTAGAACAGCTAGCGGGCTTAACATATAAAACCACTAAACCAGCAACAAACTTTGCTTCAAAATACACACCAAACCTGTAATGTTGGTAACCTCCGAATGTTTGCTTACTTTTATTTGCACAGTTGTGTTTTGGTTGCATCCTTAGGCGGTTTTATGAGATCTTTGATTATAAAAGCACAATTAAGCTATTAACTAATTGTTTGTAGCTAAAACTACACGCTGGAAGATTTTTAGATGTTTATTTATTGTATGTCTGTAATCCTGGCGTGTTTTGATCCACTCAACATTGTTCATTTAAAGATTAACGTTACTGGTCAGTATTGTTTTTTTTTATTGCCTTGTGCTCAAATTATGCACTCGATGAATGTATTTACGCCCCCGTGTGGATTAGTGGTGAATTGCAGCGCATCTTTAGGCGACTGTTCAAAATGTAATTTTTTATGGGCGCTTAAGTTTGTGTTGCAGTTTTTCTTTTCTTTTTTTTTTTTTTAACTAACTTTCCTCCATTTGTTACAAAAATATAGAACATTTGCTGAAAGCCCTAACTCGCATAAAGTAGATTTAATTATAAATGTTCATTTCTTTGACAGGCTGATTTACTCAAAACCGCAAATTCTATGATAGAAAGGACTGCATCTCATGTTTTGACTGTCTTAAAGGTGTCATTACAGAGTATTATACCCTTTCTCTCGTCGAGCAGAGTGGCGCAGCGGAAGCATGCTGGGCCCATAACCCAGACGTCGATGGATCGAAACCATCCTCTGCTAAATAGTTTTCTTTCGTATAATGTGTAGTGATTTAAAACGACAGCTTGTAATCTCAATATAATTATATAATTTATTATAGCCTACACAACCAGGGTTATTATAGTTAACTAAAACTAAATCCATAATGAAATTCGTTTTTTTAAATAAAATAAATATAAAACGAAATAAAAAAATAGCTTATTTTATTAGTTGCCAATGAAGCACATCTCATTTTTTTTATCTAGTTTAATAAAAAATAAAACTATATAGACATTCAACAAAAAATAAACTAATGACAAAAGCACACCACAACATTACTAAAGCTAAAAATAACTAAGAATTAATTAAAATGTAATATAAAAAATAACTGATGCAAAATATTTATATATATATATATATATATATATATATATATAATAGTATCGCAATAGTACTGAAATAATACTGTACACAACTGTAGGAATTACATAAAAGGAGACGTATAAATAGTAAATTGCACGTTGTCAGAACATGTGTTCTATGGTTAAAACAGACACCCAGTCTTGCATTCACAAAATATTTACCAATTTGGTCAATCAGATATGAACAAGAAGGCATGGAAAACACATAATGTGAGTGTTGCAGACACTTGAGGATTAAGGCGTTATACTAATTTGTACTGTTTTGAGGTAAGAAATCGCTGATGTAATTAAATATCTATGGCCATGATGAACCAATAGAGGGACATCTCCACTAAAATACAGTCTCATCCTGGACATTTAACTCATTGCATGCATTTATTACAGGCCAGTTCCGTAGAAATATTTTTTCACTTCTTATATTCATGCTCTTTTTAACCAGAGGCAGAGATCAGCATACAAAATTAAACATTACTGAAAGATGGGATAACTAATGATGAGTATAATGTTAGGAAGTGATGGATAAATTATTATAGTGCAATGATCTCCAGTTTCTTCTGTTTGAAACTTCTCATGTGATTACATGATGACATACATGATGACATAATTGTAATTTTGGGTAAACTATAGGCCTACCTTTAACGGGTTTGTAAAATCATAATTTATTTCTTTATTTTTTTAAAATACTTTTTAAACGTAAATAGTTTATTATTTGGATTTTGGATCTAGTTTACTATTTTCTTCCTCACGCTTGCTTATGTGTGTATTTATTTATTTATTTATTTATAAATGTATGTATGTTTAGGAAAAATTACTTTTTAAATGTAAATGTAATTGTTTATTAGCGTCTTATATGGCTGGTCAGATTCAGCGTCTGCGCTCACCACCTGAGTCACGCGAAAACCGCATTACAGAGCGCTGCATCCCTCCACCCTTCAGAAAAACAACTCCGGGCCTAACTGCAGGATTCTGTAAAACTTTCACACATGAGTCTTACTACCGCTACAATTCACTGTATTTATAAAGCATGACTGCTGTTCATTTCTGACAACATTCACGTCATATGTCAATGTTCTGCGTCCAGGTACAGCCGTGTTTTTGAGCGCTCGGGGATTATTTCTCTTGCACGGTTGCGGATGGGGACTGCGCAGGGAGGGGTTGTGAGGTGTTTAAGATGGCTGCGCCCTGTGGCGTGCAGTTGCTCTAACAGGTAAACAGGCTTATTAAACGATGTTTTTTTGTGGTGATGATATTTTCACATTATACACAGCGACAGTTGGAATGTTAGATTTGCTCGCTCCTCAGTATTTTACGTGCGTTATGTAGTCTCTCAAGCGTTATTTCTGATTTTCAATAAGCTTGTCGATAATAAGGCTCTCTTGCCTGGGACTGTCAGTGTCAGTGAAATAATAGTCCCCAATGATTGTTACAGTTTCGAATTGAATCCCAACAAATGTCCGCGTGCATATGCACGAGTTTAAGAGGGAAGTTGAAATGCATGGGGGAATGTTTCATTTTGTTGGTGCATTTTTTTGGAGACAGTCCCGCAGATTCTGGCCATTGTTCTCGCGCGCTGTTTACGCCAGTGGTCATTTCAACACAGAGCTACTGTCAGAGAATGCAGCCTAATCCACAACATCTATCTGCACATGTGTGCACTGTTATTTTGCAGCATGCAGAGGTTAAAATACAGACATATGTTGTGAGATTTGCTGACTGTTGCACGCCCTTGCGCGTGTTTTTAAACAGAAATCCTTTTGCAGGAAAATCATGCAGTGCAGTCTCAAGCATTGCCTTATTTTTATTTTGTGATCATTGCATATCGGCGTTATTTGCACTGACTCTTATGTCTTGTAATTTAATAACTTACTGTTAGAGTGTGTGTGTGTGTGTGTGTGTGTATATATATATATATATATATATATATATATATATATATATATTAACAATATTCTTTAATTTTTTATTTAAAGTTAATTTAAACAATGCACATTTCTCTACTTCTGTATGGATGTGTATACACAACCTCTTTAAGGAATTTGTTTATGTGGCCCTGAACATGGCATATAAAGCTGCTTTGTGCTGTTAAATGCTCTGTTTTCTAGTTGGCAGGCACAGGCACAGTTCGTGTTGAGGTCATCCAAAACTTAATCTTATTAATGTTTTTTTCTCCCTGAATGCAATGCATGCTCTTAGTTTGTGGGCTACGATCATGAAGTTAATCAATGTACTTCTTTGCATCTACTGTGCAGAGTTATTTCCATTGAGAGGTCAGCTTGCCATCACCTTTCTTCACCTTTTAGACCCAAATCTGAAGGAAGTTATTGCTGTGGGAATGTGACAGACCTTTCAGCGTCAAATTCAATGAAGAATATCTATTATATGGGGAAGACAACGTCCTGATAATCTGCCTTTAAACATTGAGGCTAGTGAGAGAGTCTTTTGTGCAAGTTGATGGAATTGTTACTAGCTGACAAAGATTTGCATTGTTACCGCATTTTGCATTTCTTGGTCATGTATAGTTTTTTTTTTAGCTTTTTTTTTTTTTTTTGGCCTTGCCAACTATTCACTCATTTTATAATCATTCAGTCATCAACAATTATTTGTATTTCTGCTAATTATTTTATATAATTCTTGTTAACTGCTGATTTATTTTTCAGCAAGGATGCTTTAAACTGTTTAAAAATGTATGCATTTAGCAGACACTTTTATCCAAAGCGACTTACAGTGCATTCAGGCTATACATTTTTTACCATTATGTGTGTTCCCTGGGAATTGAACCCACGTCCTTTTGCGCTGCTAACGCAATGCTCTACCACTGAGCCACAGGAACATTAAAACATTAAAAGTGACAGTAAAGACATTTGTAATGGTACATAACATTTCTATTTCAAATTAATGCTGTTATTTGGAACTTTTTATTAATGAAAGAATCTTGAAAAAATATATCATGGTTTTGCACAAAAATACAAAGCAAAACAAATTTTCAACATTGATAATAAAAAAAAAATTCTTGAGCTCAAAATCAGCATATTAGAATGGCTGCAGAAAATTCAGCTTTGCTGTCACATGAATAAATCACATGAAAAAATGTATTAAAATAGAAAACACCTAAACAGTATAAATATTTGAGCCACTGGCCCAATAGTACATGCAAAAACAATATAGTTTACTGTTTTAGCCCTTAACATGCTACTTTATCACTCCATGTGCTTAACGTGATACACTGCTCTTGTGGTGTGTAGTATATTCTAATCAGGCCACTGAGACGTGTCACATTCCTCTGGTCTTATTATGAGTTTTTTTTTTTTACTATATTTATGCATTGACCTGATGTTGTCAGGCTGGTGTGACAACTGCTGACTTTTGTCATGTCTGTGCAAGAACAGGTCGCACCATGTGAATCTTGAATGCTTCAGAATCTGTTGGGTTTGTTTTTTACTTGCCTGAAACGGCCAGCCCACATTACCACAGCTGATGTTAATGATGTTTATAATGGCATAATTCTGTGGGACTTTTCCTACACATCTTGCAGTGTTTTCTCACTCTCAGTTGGAAAGTTTACTTAAAGGTAGAAACTGCAAAATGTTCTCATGAATATTTCATTGAGATAGTGTTTCTAGACAAGTGATGTAAGTCCTCAAATGTGTTTTGCAGTGGTGCCTGGGGACAGTATTGACGGGCCGGCCCAGGGACCCCTCCAGGCTGGACAGGACACGGGACGCCGTGAGAGTGACGTCTAAGAGTCCTTCCCCTCTCCCTAGACTGTTTCAGAGACACCCGCCTCCGAACCCTCCATACCACCATGTCCAGGGAACAGCTCAGCATAGGGGACCTGCTTCCTCTGCTGGAGACCTCTGACCTCCGCCAGCTGGATGAGATCAAGGGCCTTATCAATGAACACCTCAGCACAGGTCCAGCCAAATACTGTTAGCAGAGGCAGCCTCTGGAACTTTTACCCAGTTTTTGTGTTGAATTTTTAAACTTCTCAATGTTTGCTACAGGATGCATTATAATTCCCTGCAGTGCTTTATTGCATGACTGACATTATAAAATCGACTCATGTTTTGCAGATCGAGGGTCTGTGCTGCTGAACTGCTTGGTGGATTATTTCTTGGAGACCAACTCCGCCCAGGCAGTGCACATCCTGTCCTCAGTGAGGGAGCCACACGATAAGGTGACTGACAGTCCACTGATTTTTCTGTTTTGTTTCTAACACAGTCTAAACTTGCTACCCAGAAGAGAATGTTCTCAGTCTTTTTCTGGATCTTTTCAGTGTCTCACTCAAACCATTTTCCCTGAGGTTTTCTGCCAAATTAAAAGCGTTATAGTATAACCTTTGAAAATGAACATTAATATTGTAATTTACGGTTGTGCAATAAATAAAAATACTATTTTTATTATTAAATACTCCATTTTTAATTTTATAGTACAGTATTATTATAACAACATAATTCTTATTTTGTTTAATATTTTCACACAAAAAAATTGTCATCGTTATTTTATAGTAATACTGAGTGAGTCAAAAACAGTTGGAATGTGGCCTATGATAACTGAAATGGAGAGGTTGTTTTTTTTTAAACTCTGTTTTAGACTGGTTGTTTGAAACCAAAAACAAGCTATAGAAAATACATTTGTCTTACTCTATATTTTTGACATAAAATCAACTATTTTTGAAATAAAATCAACTAATTGTATTGAGAGAAAAAAATTAAAATAATCAATTATTTCATGCAAATAATTATTCATGGACTATGCTTGCGTTCAGTTAAAAGTTATTATTTTATATCTTCGCTGTAAAAAAGGAATAAAGTGTGAAATGTGAACGCCCACATTTTTCAAGCGTTTCCCAAATCATTCAGCCCTAAAAGCATTGTTTGCACTCAAAACGTTTTCACAGTAAAAATAAAAATAAATATATCAATAAATCAGCCTTTTAAAATATATTTTTTGCAGGTGCACTTACCCTACAAAATAAAACCCAATCATTCTAGAATTACAAATCATTTCCAAATAGAACTATTCAAATCATCTGTTTTTTTATATCATAATATACATCTCAATGTAATTTTTTCCAATATCTTGCAGTCCAAATTAGTTCCCACTATTAATGCAAATATTACACACTTCACTTTTCAAAAGTATGATCATTGGAGCACATACTGTAGGTGTGTATAATATGCGACCAGCCCACATTCTTAGAGTAAAAAAACACCTGTGAAATATTAACAAATTTAAGAAGCTTAATTTAAATTTATGTTTAAGGAGTATTACTATTTAAATACATTAATATTTGATAACAGTAATAAATGTCTAGGGCAGAGAACACATTATCAACCATTCCGAGTCTTGTCTATAAGATGACTTATCTGTCTTGTCTGTTTCTCAGCACCTTTTTGATAAAATGAATGAATGCATGGCTAAAGCCCCCTGTCGCCTGCCCACTCTCACTCTACTGGGGCACGTTGTCCGTAAGCAGCCGTCTTGGATCCACAAGATTGCTCGCAATCCGCTGCTGCTATCTCTCCTCAAATGCCTCAAGGTAAGCTGATAATGTGAAAGATCTCTCAGATATGCCTCTTGTAACCTACAGTATACATATAATAATTTGTGTGTTACAGACAGACACAGATGTTGTGGTTCTGATAACTGGAGTCCTGGTGCTCATCACACTATTACCCATGATTCCCCAAGCTGGCAAGCAGCATCTCTATGAATTTTTTGATATCTTTGGCCGTCTGGGTTCTTGGAACCTGAGAAACCCAGGTAAGAGTTACTAAGCATGCAGATACTGTATGACTCAGTTATGCAATATTTTTTTATCCCTGAGGTATATATTGAAAGCCTCTGGATGGTTTTAGTCTCCCACAGAAATCCAAAAATATTATGAGGCATCTTATTACAAATGATTTCATTTGTAATGAGAAGCCTCATAATATTTTTGGATGGTTAACTAGCTGTATGATCAACCTCTGTTGACAGGACACGTCCCGGAGGTTTATCTCATCCACCTGCACGCAAGTGTCTACTCGCTCTTCCACCGGCTGTATGGGATGTATCCCTGCAATTTTGTGTCTTACTTGCGCTCCCATTACAGCATGAAGGAGAACGTAGACACTTTTGAGGAGGTGGTCAAGGTGAGCTGTCAGTCATACAGTTGCTTGCCCAGGAGGTTTGCCAAATACATGAGATTTAAAATATTGCATTCAATCCATAATGATTTTCCATAGAATTGTATTATGGGGGCATCCATAACCGGTAAATGTCAAGCTTCGAAAATGACAAGTACCTATGCACTAGTGGTTATGACTAATGGCTTATTAGTGATGGTGTGATTTTAGTCAAATATAACTGATGGTGTTTTTGTTGTATTTATGTCTGTGTATATGTTACAGCCCATGCTTGAACATGTCAGAATACATCCCGAATTAGTTACCGGAACCAAGGACCATGAACTAGATCCTAGCCGGTGAGGCAGTACTGACTCATGTCACTTTCTTAAATGCATAAACCATGTAACAGTCACACTTTATCTATCATTTGGTCTCTTTTCTCTTTACAGGTGGAAGAAATTTGAAATCCACGATATCGTTATTGAGTGTGCCAAAGTCTCTCTGGACCCAAAGGAGGCGTCCTGCGAAGAGGGCTATGCCAGCATGCCTGAGCATTTCTGTGCTCATCTACAACAACGTCCGGCTGATTGCACTGCCAGCCCTTATAGTGACTTCCACAGTAGCTACGGTAACACTCTCATCCTGTATGAATTACTTATTCAAACTTAGCATACAGCAAAATAGCACTTTTCAGTGTTTTTTCTATCCTAGCGATGGTGAAGTGGCTATATAAATAGATTTATTATTTAGAAAAACGGTTTAGCTGCTAGCAACTGCAAGGTCATTAGTTTAGTTTTTACGGAATAAGTGATAAAATGTATATCTTAAATACACAACTGAATAAAAGCATATGCCATATGTATAAAATGTAATAGGAAATGAAGCTAGGCAAGATAAAAACTAGCATGTTAATTCAGTCACAGTCTATTTTCAGGCAAACTCTGTTTTTGTAGCAGTGGCAGAATGTTTTTTGTGGACATTATTTTTCTGTCCTTTTCCAGGAAGTTCTTCCTCGACTCATTTCTCCACCCCTCATCAGCCTGTCGTCCCTCCCTTGGCCCTGTCCTCTTTCTCAGGGACTCAGCCCCCCTATCGCAGCCCCACTGGAACCCATCGGCAGGTGAGAGTCCACCATGCTCTGAAATCTACAATCCACTTCTTAGTTTGCAGTTTGTAATTTGTTGGTTTTAGCAGCCTAGTTACAATGTTGGAGCATGAGTTTGGTGTGGAATAGGGCTGCACGATTAATCGCATGCGATATTTAACGCGCTGCGCTAAACCACGTTCATATTCGCGCGATTTTTTGCGCAGCTCATCAGTGAACAACGGCTCTGTGTAGTTAATGCTGCTCAATGTGAAAGCACGCAGGTGATGGAGATTTACCGCTGATTACAGAACCGGCTTTCTGACAAGATGCGCGTTAAATATCGCATGCGATTAATCGTGCAGCCCTAGTGTGGAACTACTTGTTTGAATCCAGTGACTCTACAGCTACAGTGTTCTACATATAAACAGATCTGGATTGGCAGTTGGCACACTAGTTTGTGAAGCAGCACCAGTGCAGGAATCGGTTTATTCTGCTGAACGCTCCGCAGACTGAAAACAAACAGCATTGCGTTTGTGTTCTAATGAGCACATTTGGTCCTATGTTAATGCTTTTCTCACAATTTAAGATTATGTTCTCACAGTTTTGTTGTGATTTGGAAAATACTTTCTATTAGGGGTGCATTGATCTGGAAATTAGAGGATGATGCAGATAACGATTATTTTAAAACTGTGATTTGCTGATAGCGATTTGATTGCCAGTGTTTGCAAATAGAGCTCAGAGTACAGCATCTCTCTAAATAGGAAATTGCTTTTCAAGATCTAGTGCTCTTACGGAGTTAAACTTGAAGTTAGTGCTAGATGATGATCTCAATCTTAAAATAAGTAGAAACATTTAAATATTGGCAATATTGGCCGATAAAAAATATGCAATATTGGCCCATAAGCAGTATGGTGCCAATAAATTGTACTTTATTACACTGTTCACTATGCCACATGCTGGCGCAAAATATACTACACTTTGAAATTGCTGACAAAAGTTTACATTTTGTGAACTGGTTGTTTTGGATGGATAAAGCATAAATCTATTAGATGCCGTCTGATAATCACTGGATTCTGCATGAGCAGTCATGGGACTTATGGGACTTTGTGTGTGCTTGTGTTTATTTATAGAACTCCAGCTGTGAATTTAATGCCACATATGGCTTTAAGGATTCCCTCTGGAGCCCCTCCTCTCAATGTGGCATGGCCACGCCCCCTTCCTCCCGTGGGATGTCACCAAACCCGGAACTGTCCCAGAGTACCTCTCACCTACCAAGCCGCCTCTACAGCACACCTGGTGACTATACTGACTATGCTTGTTCACAGATAATATTGACATTTAGCATGTTGGCACAGGTAGGCACATCTGGGTCTCCGTTTCCTTAGGCACTAGTATGAATTTGGTCTTGTCATCTTCACTGCAGCAGGTGGAAAAGGCACCCCGTCCTTTAACACCCCTGCGGCCGCCTCACCTCCTCCCAGCCTCCCCGATGAGTTTCCCTCTGTGTCTCTTCCTCGCAGTACCGCCAGCCCACCATGCAAGGTACTTTTGTGGAGGATGATCTTTTGTGTGGATCTGTAGTATTCCCTTAAAAAGATAGTTCACCCAAAAATGAAAATTCTGTTATAATTGACTCATGTCAAAAACCTCTATGACTCTATTTTTCTTCTGTAGATATTTTTAAAATTGTAAAAGATTATTTAAAAAATGTAAAATGAAAGCCAGCATGGTTTTGACATTTATTGTACAAAAATAGTTAAAACATTCTTTAATGATGATAGAATTTTCATTTTTGAGTGAACTATCCCTTTAAGCCTTCCTTAACTTGTTAAAACAAATTTTACACTTTTTTTTAAAACAAGTTTGAGACCATTTTGCTTGTGTATAGTTTCACTATAAACCATTTTAACTGTTATGTGCTCTTTAGGATGGTAGACCTTTAGACCACACCAAACCTGTTTTGGTCAGACAGGAGCCGGTCAGACAGGAGCCAGACAGAGAGCTTGAGAAAACTGGACCTGAAATGATCAATCATAGAGGTATGTTACATGTAAGAATCACTCAAAACAAGAATTGTGTTTTGACATTACCAACACAACAGCCTGACAATAAATTAAAGGTTTAATTCTCTTTAAAAAGTTAGTTTAACTATTTCTTTAGCCTTTGGTTAACATTTTAAAGTGCCAAGCAGAAAAGGCAATAGGGAAGACCACCATGACTATAACGATAACTTCACAGAGGAATATCATTGGAATCACTTTCAGAACGATTTTTTTTTTCAGCTGATGAACAATACAAATATTTACAGCCAAACAGAATCCATCTGACTTTTAAAAGTTTGAGCATTTAAAGCAGCAAATGACATAACTGCAGCACGCACTTATAATAAACGGTTATTATAAGTGCATTAAGTTATTGATGCTAGGGCTGGGCGATATAACTAAAAAAATGTATCACAATATAATGTTTAATATCATTCGGTATCGATAATTATTGAAAAATTTTTATAACCTTTCTTAAACAGAGAGCAGTAGAAAAAAAGGTTTAAATTTAACCACTGTATTTTTAATTTACCCAGTTTATTAAGACAAACAACAACTTATTTTAGTCTTAAACAAAATAACAAATAAAACAAAATAAAATTTAAACCAAATATCTCCTTTCTTATATTTCCATTCAGCCGATCTCCGGGTCTGGCGGTAGCACTTTTAGCTGCAAAATAATGCACCTCATTAAACGGTTTATTCAATGCAATGAAAATAACGGCTGTCTATAAAAAAAGTACATAACATCTAAACTAATATTTATAAATCAAATATGATTTCGTAAATTGCATAAAAAATAATGAACAAAACAGCATCATGTATTTATGCATAGCTTAATATAAATAGCCAAAGCGCCGATCACACGATTGCATTTAAAAACGTATGAGAAGCAGTGGAATGGAATAAAACCCCACAAATTCTCAAGACATGTTTTCTAAAAGTTTAACCTCTTTTAACTTTACATGGCTTTCTATTCAACTCTTGTACGAGACGCGAGTGCAACAGTCATAGTTGTGCGTCTCAAGAATGCGCCGAATATGCGTTCTGTGTGAATGGCTTGGCTTCGGTTTTAACCTAAACAATATCTTCTCCGCATTGAGCTTCTATATTTCTCTAATATTTTGAATGGAAAATGCAGCAGCAGCGGCGCATCTTGTGGTTTCAACTGGATATAGACTAACAAAAACATTAAAACGCAACTTCATCCTCACCGCATCTCATGCGCCGCTAATAAGGCTCCTTGGCGCACACCTAAAATTCAAATATACTGTTTTTTCATTCGAATGCGAATTTTTATTTTAAATTCGACTAATATTCCTTTTTTTGATTCACAGTCTCCTCATCGCAGACAGGCACGGCACTCATTTCAGCGTGTTTGTGTTCTGTTGGCCGTCTGCTTGTCACTCATAACACGCGCCTTTAAATGAAAAAAGCGTGAAACTATCGTGCGATATATCGAACATTTTTTTCTGTCATAATTGATGATGCTGTACCGTCGATAAATATCGATACCGTTTTATCGCCTAGGCCTAATTGATGCTATACAATATACTATGGGAGCCTGTTTCTGCCAAGGAATTAAAAAAAAGGTAAATGCAACTTTTTATCGCATAATTCAGACTTTTTTTCTCACAATTTTTAGAAAAAAAGTCAGAATTGCGAGAGAGAAATTTAAGTTGAATTGAACAGTTTTGAGATTGTATCTTGCAATTCTGATATTCATATATATATATCGCGCAAGTATGTTTTTTTTATGTAATTGCGACTTTTAATCTTGCATATTGTTTATCTCACAATTCTGACTTATTTTCGCAATTCTGAATTCATATCTTGCAATTCTGAAACAGAAATTCTCAGAATTACAAGAAAAAAAGTCCAAATTATGAGATAAAAGATATTTAAAGAATATTATTATAAAGATTTACCTTTTTTTATTTTTTTCATCCTGTGGTGAAAACCAGCTTCCATAATATAGTTAAAACATTTTTTGTGAATTGGCCTGTAGTTGTGTCGTCATTAAGAATTTGTCTTTTATCTGACCCAGATTGCAGAGGTAAAAGATGATTAAAAAATTTAAAATTGTAAAATGAAAATTAGCATGGTTTGTCTTTTATCTGACCCAGATGGCAGAGGTAAAAGATTATTAAAAAATGTAAAATTGTAAAATGAAAGTCAGCACGGTTTGTCTTTTATCTGACCCAGATGGCAGAGGTGAGAACATGCCCATGACCCTGACCGAGTTCTCTGTGTACATGAAGGAGCAAGAACAGCTGAGGATGGAGAAAGAGCGGGAGGATGGTATGAACTAGCACTCAGTGGTTGTGTGTAGCCTGTGCTGTATTTTGAGTCGCTTCATACCAGTTGTGTCTTTTCCTGACAGACTAACTAAACCATTAAGCTCTGGAAATATCCTTATATAATTTTCTATCTTCCATTCTCTCAGCTGCCATCACAGAGGAGCTTTTGAAGTTAACCGAGGAAAAACGGGATTTAGCTGGCCTTCGTGGCTTTGACTCTCCATTTTACAGCACCACAGAGACCCTGACCGGAGCGCAAGAGAAACCACTGCCCTCTTCTATCCTGGGCAGCTCGATTAGAGACCCTCACAACGCAATCTCCACGCCCGACAAGACTGAGATCACGCCTGGGGACAGAGGCAGAGTCAGCAGAGGCCCATCCCAGGAGCATCCCTGGTTCTTCCAGCCAGTGTTCATGCCCATCGAGCACCCAACGCACAGCCAACTTCATCGGAGCCCCTCCGCACCGGAGGATGAGGCCCTTAAATACGGCTTGTGCTCCCCGAGCCCATGCAAGCCACCACCCCTGCCATATGAGGCTCTGTTTGACCTGGCCCTGCCTCGAGCAGCCTCTCTCTTCGTAGGGAGGAAGACCTCAGAGATTGTGCAGCGAGAAGCCTTGGAGAGGATACAGAGAGGTGATGTGGGCAAACAAGGGGAGGAGGTGGGTGTTGAGGGGGCAGTGTCTGCCTCCCCCTTGGAGGTGCTGGATCGCCTCGTGCAGCAGGGCGGTGACACCCATGACAAAGCGTTAAAGAGGTAAGCCTTTTGCTTTCAAGGTTTGCAATAACTCTTGATCATGTGGCTTGGTGGTTAAAGATCTGAGCTTACAATCAAAAGGTTGAAGGTTCGAACCCTGCAAGTAGGGATGGGCGATAGGTATTTTTATAAGGAAAGTATATTTATAATGCAATGTTAATCGACATGGCCTTTATCACTGTATATAATACTAGCATTCTGTAATATGAAACCACTTCTGGTCACAAAAAGAAGCATTTCAAACACTCAACTATGTTATTAAGTGAATTTGGAGAAAAAGCAGGTCAATAAATTATATCTTTGTTGGACAACAGTTTTGTAAACAGGCTCATACACATGCAAAACTGTATTGCACACGTGCTACTGTAGTACATTTATTCAGACCGATTTTTTTGTGCATTTTACAGCCCTAACCAAACCAGTTACAGATTGTAAAAGGAGCTCGAGCTCCTCATTTAGCGATATAGGCTACTCCTCCTCAATTTCACGTCCGCCTTCCGCGATGTCGCTTCGCACTGTCGCACACAGAAATATGTCAACAACTAGACTTTATCGTTATTATCGCGGGAAGACTAATTCTTATCGTGGGGAGAATTTTTACCGGTATATCGCAAACGATAAGATATCACCCATCCCTACCTGCAAGGCATTAAAGGGATAGTTCACCCAAAAATGAAAATTTTGTCATTAATTACTCATCCTCATGTTGTTCCAAACCCGTAAGACCTTCGTTCATCTTCGGAACACAAATTAAGATATTTTTGAAGGAATCTGAGAGCTGTCTGACCCTCCCATAGACAGCAAGGGTCCTTACACGATCAAGGTCCAGAAACATAGCAAGGACATCGGTAAAATAATCCATGTGACATCAGGGGTTCAACTGTAATTTTACAAAGCTACGAGAATACTTTTTGTCCTCAAAAGAAAAAAAAGAAAAACTACTTTATTCAACAATTCGTCTCCTCTGCGTCACCCTTGCGCCATTTTGGAGAGTATCCAAAATGACTCTCCAAAATGACGCTAGGGTGACGCGGAGGAGAAGGAATCTCAGATTCCTTCAAAAATATCTTAATTTGTGTTCCGAAGATGAACGGAGGTCTTATGGGTTTGGATTTGGAACAACATGAGGATGAGTAAATAATGACAGAATTTTCATTTTTGGGTGAGCTATCCCTTTAAAATCAAACAAAAATTCTCTCATCCTTGGTTAGATGTATATAAAGCATATAAAGCGATCGTATCTCTTCACAAGACTTGGATTAAACTGCTTGGATTTATGTGGTTTCGTTTTGCAACGCCTTCATAACCTTTTTGAATCTTTTAAGTTTTGTTTACTTGGAATTTCAATGGAGGTACAGAAACCTCTTAGCTTTCATTAAATAAAAATATCTTAATTTGAGTTTCGAAGATTAACCAAAGTCTTGTGGGTTTGGAATGACATGGAGAAGTGTAAATTATGAATTTTAATTTTTGGATGAACTATCACTTTAACTGCCATTTGTAAACCCTAACCAGACTTGCCAAGCATCCACCAAAGGTGTGACATGACAAAATCAGCCAATAAAGACATACTTGAGTAATATGGGGCAGAGAATTACGTTTCTCACTTTTCTCACATTTGCTCAGTCATTCATGTGCTCAGAACTCGTAATTATGACATTTCTGACTCCACACAAAGGGCACATTAGCAACATGCTAACAATCATCCGAAACACCTTAACAACTTAATAGACTAACAACCACCTGAAAACACCATAGCAATCATCCGGAATGACCACATAGCTACATGCTAACAACCAGCTGGAACATATTAGCAATCAAGTAGCAACTTGCTAACAATCTCTCAGAACTCCTTTCTCGTGATGAGGAGGTTTACGCACAAGAATAACTCGTTTTCTTTAGAATATGTAAACAATCTAGTTTACTTTACAGTTTCCAAACTAGACGACTTGCTAAAGGGCTGCTGGTGTTGCTCTAAGGCTCTTTATTTTAGGAAGAACTGGGTCAGACTAGTTGCAGATTTGCCCACTAACTCGCTATCACACTGAAACAACTGCCTGCATTGTCCCGCGGGCCGTGGCACATCCACTGCAACGCAAATCAGTCCACAGTGCAACAGCAGAGCCTGTGTTAACAGAACACAATCAGAGCTCTTTCTCTCTCCTCCTGCCCTGCACAGACCTTACTAGAAGACACATAATTGAGTTGGGTTACTGGGCTCACACAAATTGAGGTGTTTTGGCTCTGGTCAGAGAGGGTTCTGTGTGGAAAGGCTTCCTCTGCCAGAAAAGCAGTGTGTCCGAAATTATTGTCACATTGCCACTGACCTTGTTGATCCTGTGTTTTCTCCCTTCCTTTTCTTCCAACACTTCCACAATCGCTCTCAGATTGCCTCTGCCAAGCAAGTCAGCTGACTGGACACACTTTGGAGGTAAACAACATTACATGAGCACACATTCGCTACTTGTGGAAAAGTCGTTTTTTTCAGAGTACAGAGAAACAATGCTGTTTTCAGCTAGGGGATAAACATTTAAAAATAAATGTTTAAACCTAAAAATGAATATTCTGTCATCATTTTCCAATCTACATGACTGACTGACTTCTGCAAAGTATGAAAGAGGATATTTTAAAGAATGTTGGTAATCCACAGTTTCACACCCCATTCAATTACACATTTCTTAAAATTCTTTCTTATGCTCCACAGAAAAAAGAAAGGCATGAGGTTGACTAAATGATGACAGAATTTTCATTTTTGTGTGAACTTAGTAATTGTTTCCATTTAAAATCTCCTCAGGGCGGACCCCACCCCTATTATCGGACACTTTTGGTTGTGCAATAAGTAAATCATAGATAAAAGCACCTTTATTTACATAGCCATTGATACAAAACAGATAGTTTCAAAGCAGCTTCACATTAATAAATAGAAAAATAACAGAATCAATTGTTCATATTTTATCAAATATGAAAAAATTCAAATTCTGCTGTAAAGGAGCTCTAAGAAAGACGGTAGTGTCATTAATCAGCTCATGCTGATTCTACATTAATGTGAATACCTGAAAACCTTTTTATGTGTAAGATACCTGCAAAAAGTTGAGCAAACGTGGTAAAACATCTAATTTAAAGGAAATATTTTTGATTTTATATTTTGCTTGAAAACAGCTACTTTTGAATGGATGTCAACGAAGTAATGCAGCGCATTTTATGGAGGACCGTTTCCTGATCCTGGTAGAGTAGACCACAATGCTGGCTGTTCTGACTCACATACTGTAAGTAAGTTTTTTTTATATTTGAAGAGTTTTTATATTTTATATTTTTTATATTTAAAGTGAGTTTTTTGGGTGTTTTTTTTTTTTAGAGTAGGGGTTGTTGTTTGTCATTTCTCCGATCACAAATGCAGACATGGGTTTATGTTTACGCGGCGTGATGCAACGCAACACGTAAAAAGACAGTATAAGTCATTATAATCCATAAACACATTTCATTACACCAAATACACAAAATAATGTTCTTTTTAGCAACATCATATGACCCCTTTAATGTATGAGTTATGTAGAAATCTTTCTTCTATTTTGTCATGCACAGGTTCTGCTCCTCTGGACGAGCTGCACACACTGCGCAGTCAGCTGCTGCTGTTACACAACCAGCTCTTGTACGAGCGCTACAAGCGAGAGCAGCACGCCATACGCAACCGACGCCTGCTTCGGCGCATCATCAATGCCACCGCACTCGAGGAGCAGAATAACGCCATGGTAACCTCAGCTCAGAGTCATGGTCTGCGGGCCAACATTCATATCGAGTCTTCTGTTACTAGATATAAAATGGTGAACTGTAAAATGTTTTCTTTTTGGCAAGGCTGGTTTGCTGGTCCCTGATATTCACCTTGACCACTAGAGGGCAGCAGATACCAATGCAGTTGATTGTATGTATGTGTTTGTTTCTACAGAAGGACCAGCTGAACCTGCAGAGTGTGGATATCATGTCTTTGAGAGAGAGCCTGCAGGTAGAGCAGCAGAGATACCGGCAACTCTGGGACGACCGAGAGACTGTGGTTACACGCCTGCACAGCCAGATACGCCAACTACAACAGGCCAGAGATGACTACTACACCAAAAACCAGGAGTTACAGGTGCTAATAAATTTGATTTTTCTTTCTAAGCCCAAACCTCGAAGCTGTAGTGTGCAGTATGTAATTTAATAGTAAATGAGTTGGCCACAACATTGCCGTTTAGAATCAGTTTGATAATTTATTATGCACCTGTGATCCGCCAATCAGAGTAAACTACAAGAATGCCAGAAGCGAATAGGTGAGATGGAGGCGGCGCTTCAGAAGGCGAACAACAAGGTGTGCCACACAGGGCACCTGCTGAACCAGCTCACTGCCAAGGTAAAAATAATCACCCTCTGTCTCTTGAGCTCCAAAAAGAGCCAATCCCATATATTTTAGTCCATTTGAGTCTATTTTCTGAAGTAAATGATCATTTGCAATTTTGGTGTGAATGTTCCCTTTAAATATTTTGAATACGTTGTGATTATATATCATCATTTTCTTCCCCTAATTTGTCCTTTCTTCAGTTGTCATCGAGTGAAAGTATTCAGCAGCAGTTGAGTTTTCTAAATAAGCAGCTGCTGCTGCTAGGAGAAGCCCATAAACTGTGTGTTCAGGAGCTGCATCAGGCCGGACCAGATACTAGCAAGGTACAAGTCAAAAGAACAAGAAGTCCAGTGTTCTTTCATCTTTGCGATTTATGTCATATTCCTCTTTGTCTTTGACCACTTCTCTCTTGTAGGAGGTGCAGATGTTGCAGACATCCTGGGGCAAAGAGACGGAGCATCTAAAGCAGAATCTGTTACTTCAGAGCCAAAAGCTGGATGCTGCTCAGCAGAGAGTGGCAGAGCTGGAGACTCAACTTGCTAAGAAAGAGCACCTAATCGCAGAACAAAAGAAGTTTCTAGAAGATGTCAAGGCTCAGGCCAAGTAAGATCAGTTTTGGTGTATTTGAAGACTGTTTATAGCATACTAACAACTTGTATTTGCATTTATTGACTCTTTGAAGCACAAAGCTTCCCCTCAGTTGTATAGTATGCTTTCTTGTTTAATATTCCATCATTTCACAATATGTCTCACAATCTTTCTTATTTGCCTTTCACTCAGAGGGGAACTGCAGGCCTCTGAAAGCAGATATCAGGCACAGAGGTGGTTAACTCTGGCTCTGCAGACTGAGCTTCTGCAGCTCTACAGCAGGCTGGAAACAGAAGAGTCCTCTGCCACCGCTTCAGCCTTACCAGCAGAGGGTGCCACTGAACCCCGCAGTTCCACTGAGCCCAGGTAAGACTGATAACTATAGTGTCATTCAAATATAAAAACATTTGAAACAAAAATACCATTATCCAGTTCAGCATGCTACTACTTCTGTGTTGATTTCATGATATGCAGTTTGTGCTGTTGTGACTTTACATGAATCGGGTAAAAAGTCAGACTTTTTCATTTTAAATTTGCA